ATAGGGCAGCACAGGAAATCGAAGCAGTGAACTTTATTAAACAATTTCAGTCTGGCTACTGACAATGTTAAGTGAAGTAATATAATTATATGTTTTAAGGTCTGACATACATGTTGATTCATTAGTAAAAGGCCTATCTGTAGACAAAATGTACAAATACGTGGTGCACAAGAGCATGTCAAGTGGAAGTGTAGCTGCCTGCACCCTGAATGCTTTTTCATACACGTGTTACGGGGCAGGCCTTGTTGTGCGCTGCAGATGCCTGCCATTACGTGGATGAGAATTCAGGCAACAGTACGTGTCTCAGTTGTATGGATGACCCAAGGCTGAATGGGACACAAAATATTCTAAGAACCAAGATGGTGAAGTCTAGAACTAAAACCAGTAAAATACACATTTTAGAGAGGATAGATCTAAGTAATAAGGCTTTTAAAAAATCAGCCTTCAGGGAGATGTGGGCAAAATGGCGCATGCAGGAAAGCCCTGTCAAATTCAAGTCCAGTGTGAAATGGCAGTGCTGTGCCCACCGGAAATGCATTTAACTTTAGTGAACAGAACAGAACAAGGAAATCACTGGGAATATTTAGGCCTAGACACTGCAAGAATACCCCACAGGCACATATAGAGAGAGATCAGGATGGCGAAGGATGGAGAACTGACAGGCACAAACGTGGACGGGAGGCCTGGGGGAACGGGGCTGTCTTCAAACACCGCAGGAGCTGCCCTCCTCCAGCAGGGTGATGGGAGAATTCTTTACGACTACCGAAGGCTGAAGTTACACTAATGGATGAGAGAGACAGATTTCAGTCTAGTTAAAAAAACCCCTGAATACCTGAAAACTTCAGAAGTTGGAAGAGGCTTCCTGGAACAACAATATACTCCCGTCTGGTCACAACAAAGGTTCAGAAAGATTGGTTACCTGTTTATAGCCTGAGGGATGGGAAAGGTTAGCTAGCCATTTTATGTTTGGGGGGAAAAATCAGATTTCTAAGGCTCTTTCAGTCTGAGCTTATATAAGCCAGGTAGAAAATCACTTTCTTTAAACTAAATAATAAGAGCTAAAATCTTAGTGTGGCAAGTGATTGAAATGTACCAAGTAAAAGTGGGTTCAACAGGTCTGCTTCAGCCACACAGGAGCCCAGGCAGCTACAACCGTCCCTCTAGGGTGGGAGCCACAGGCAGGGACAAAATCACCCTCTGTGCACACGCACTGCTCTCCTGGAGCAGCTACTCACTGGTGCAGACTGTTCCCTATTCATTCTGAATATACATGATGCTGTCAGCCAAAGTCAAATGGAATCAACATAAAATAAGCAACAATTCTTGTAACGATGAGTAGTTTTGGTATTGTTTTATTTTTTTTCCCCAGCACATCTCAAAAATCACACATGGGCATTTGCTTATAGAACAGTACAGTCTAGGAAAAGCAATAAAAGGAGAATGCAAACATACACTGAAAGCACAGTATACAGACTGTGTGGAGCCCTTGTGGAAAACAGTATGGCTCAGTCCGAATTGACAAAGCTATGCTGGAACCTCTCAGGAATTCTCCTTCCCACTATATACCCACTTTTAGACTATAAACATAGAGAGACGAATTGTTTTTGTATGCATTAGTTACAGCAGCATAATGGCTTACATACGTCGTACAAGTGCTTATCCACATGTAGTTCCCAAAAGATTACTACAGTACTGGCAGGAATATGTACTGCCTTGGAGGAAGACTCAGGATAAGATATTATTCAAGTCAAGTTGCATCAGAGCCAAAGAATTTCACAGGCTAGCAAAAAGGACAAAAATTAAGAAATATAACCTACACATATTTAAGATTTATCATTGTCCAGAAACAGAAATATTCATTATTCTGAAGGCACCATCACACAAAAAAGGGACTAACACACAACGTAAGAAACAGGACCCCCCCCCCCCCCCCCGCCCCGCGCACACACAGAGGCTTGCTCCTCAGGGAGCTGTGTAAGCAAACATCGTAAAGCATGTAGCTGGTCTTCAGGACCAAGAATGTCACACCCACCGAGCCACATCTCAGGGCTACTAAGTTGGGGCAGCAGAAATGAAAATGTAAGGCTGAAACCACACAGAAATCCCATCGACGGAGTAGATGTATGTGGGAGCACAGGTCACCCATGGAATCAGCTCAGCGGGCTAGAACAGGTGGTCCAGACCAACGCCGAGGAAGGAGCTGTCGGTGTTTCTACATACGATTGCCTAGTTCCTGACACATGGCTCTGAAGAGGAGTAGTGGTGAACTGCTAAACAATCGCTGTCCTTTAAAAACATCCTCTCCCACTTGTTTTAAATAATGGCTATTTCATGAAAAAAAAAAAAAAAACATCCCAACAAGGCACTGTGATCTTTTTGGGATACTCTTTAAGTAGCTCAAGAGATAATTATTTACAGAAACTGTATACCAGCATAAGCATTTCATTCCTTTTGGGTGTGTGAACAAGACTGCTCAAAGGGTTCAACACCACAGTTCACAGGGAGCTCATGTTGTTCGTGAAAAACACTGCCGACAGTAAGATGCCTGAAAAACTAGTGTATATGATACTCAGAAATCCACACTGAAACTTTTTCCCCCCTTTTTCTCTCCCATAGATTTGGAAGTTCAGTCTCTGAAAAATGTTCCTAATGATACTTGATGTATTATTTTTGGGAAAAAAAAGTATAATAATTTCCTTTGAGAACCAAAGAAACCTTTTCATGTTCACAGAACTGAAGTTAATTCTGTGACGGTTCTCTGGCATGCGCGCTCCATGTGCCAGTGGCCCTCACATGGGCTTGTTAAGGAAGTGCAGGTAGGAGAGCACAAGAGCGCTCGTTCTTCGAGGATCTTCCAAGACTCCAGCGGGGAAGGCTTCAGGTTCAAAGGAGAAGGACCGCCTCCTAGGAGTGTGACATTGATTTAAAAAAGTACTGAGGGTCATGAAACCAGCTAACAATATGCTGAGCTGTGATTAAAATGGATTCAGTTATATTTAGGTTGTACTTGATTATGCTTAATAAAATTACAAAAGTTGTTTTCAAATCAGCAAAAATATAAAGATGAAAACTAAAGTTAAAAGAAAACCCAGATGCAAACAGAACAACAGCCAGCTTCATACTCCCTTTAAAGCAAAAGTTCTTAGGCCCAGGTCCATTTTATTAATAGTATGTTTCTACAATCTGTTGACATTACAAGTAGTTTTTATAGTCAAATTTCACACTGAAGGCACTGGCTCAAGAAGCAGAAAGCTGAGTACATCCTCCATATCAGACACTGTATTTCAATAGTTAAAAAAAAATCTTTTACGCTTTCTGGATTTTAGCATCAAAGTATATGTTGTTTTCCTTTTAGGAAACTGAAATTAATAAAAACTTAATGAACACACTGACATGTGGCTCATTTAGAAACAGGAAGCCTTGAGCCAAGTGAAGCTCCTGTAACTTAGAAAGCCAAAGGCGATTCTGGATCCTCAGTCCTAAACTGGCACTTGTTATTTTTGGCTTTTCTCCCACCATGAGCTAAGCCCTAGTTAAAATCAAAGTTGCTAAGTATTAAGTGGTAAACAAAAAGTTATTAAAGCTGTCTTTAATTCCAATTTCAATATTTTTTAAAATGTAGACAGGCTTTCCACAGTACACATTTTGGCTGCCTCAAGCACCAGCACATGCAGTTTGTGAATCAATCTGCAATAAATAGCCACATGTGTCCACATTTACTGTCTAGAATAGATGCTCAGCAAACCCAGCCCCATTCAACAGCCAAGATTAATGCTTCAGTTTGGGATTACAGGGCTTCCCTGATCAGCTATGGTTAAGAAATTGTAGTTATAAAAGAATAGCAGAAAGGAAAATCTCTGGAGCCAACACACACAAAGGCATTTTCAAGAATGCAAGCTGGGACCTTGTGGATCCTAAGAAAATGTTCTGAAAAGGAGGCGGCCCTGGAACCATCTGTATCTGGTACACTATGCACACCGATGGAAGCTCACCCTTCACTTTGATTTTCCAAAATACATCAGCACAGCTATGCACAACAGAGGGCTTCTAGCCTCGTAAGTAACTTTACAGTAATTGTATTACATGTAGTATGTAAGCATTTAGGAAGAAAACCCAATTCCTCACAAGAGGAAAGAATTTAATCCTTTCTTTGTAGTAATGTGTTGGGCACAATAAACACGTGGCTTTTACAATTCTCACTGAACTAAAAAAGCTCAAGTTACTCAGCATAAGACTAGAGTCACGTATGCACTGTAAATTGCACCAAACATTAAGGCAACAGTTACTCTAAGGGTCCATAAAGCCTGCTCATATACTGAGTCTTTAGCATGAATGCCATTTCTCACTAGGAGCAAGTTTCCATCCCCACTAAAACTCCAACCCAAATGTGACATCAAATAAAATATCAGAAACATGATTACAAAAGACAAGTCAGTGTTATGTAGTACTGAAAACCAAATAGGGTACAACCTCGAAAAATTTTAAATGAACTTGTTCAGAATGAGTTAAGAAGCTTCACAGAAACAATGTTCTCCAGGCTTTAACTTTTATGGGGCCATTTTCAGACATTTCAGGAATATGAGGCAAGGTTTAAGTGCTTCTGTGCATATTCAAGAACTCAGCTCTCCACAACACTAAGCATATGCAGCGGCACCTCAGAATGGGTGTATGAAAAGGGGGAATGCGTTCTGATTTACTAAATCAGAGCGAAACAGTACTGATGGGTGTTCATGTGTTTCAAAATGATCCCTGTAGAAATGATTCCGACTACAAAATGTAGTTATCACCACAAAACCAAGGTTGGGGAATCCGGCAAACACGGGCAAAGGAAAACAAAGACATAAATCACTGATTTCCATGAGGTTTGTGTAGAATGGTGAACATGACAACTTCAGGTGTTAAATTTATAGTTTCCTAATATCAAATACAGATTTCTGAGGTTGCTGAAATTTGAACTCCCTGGGAAAGAATGTTGTAACAATCACATGCAACAGAATGAATCTGCTTATGAATCTGTAAGTTTTATTTTTAAAAAATTACTCAGAAACATGTATACACTCCAGTGAGATATTAGTACCATATTAAAATTTTACATTTTGATCACCAATTAGAGAAATCACTTTCATGAATAGATGCATTTTATAAAGCTGAGATTTTTATCATTATAGAGGCAAGTATAATTTCCTCATCAAGTATCCACCTATTTCAAATATCAAGGTCTTTAAGCACAGATCTGCTGGAAATTTTGTAATTAAAAATAAATCACCAATGTGGAGAGGCAGCTTCTAATAAATCAATATTTAGTTTTTGTTGTTAAACTAATATTTAATTTTGATTTGTTTACAGATTTGTTTATTAGTCTGAGGCCAATTTTATTAATTAAAATCATTTATCATTTTGAAGTCTTAAAAATACCATTTTGTCAACTTTAAATTTTTACTTCTCTGGTTAAGGCTATCTTCACATATAAAAGGTATCAAACTGCCCCAAAATACTCTGGAGCTGCTGCTACATAGACAGACAGTGTGTCCTTTTATAGGATCATCTGCATTGTAACCTACTGATCAAATATTAATTTAAAAAAATTATCAAAAGTTAGGTATTGCATTAAAAAAAGAATCCATCTCAAAATGTGAGTCATAAGCCTTGACAGTGATTCAAAGTAACCCTTTCACTTATTTTAGCATCCAGATTTGAATGTAAAAATGTATGCTAAATGTGACTAATGTTCTCATTATTTAAGAAATATGATATTTCAAACTTTTGATTATGCTATGTATATTAATACATTACAGGTTTTTTAAAGTTTAGGTTAAACCAACCAGTAATTCAAAAGAGGTGTTAAGCCATTATTAAAAACTAAACTGAAACTTTACTTTTATATGAAAATTTATCATGTTGTTTGGGTTAATTTTTTTAAAAAGATTTTAATTTTTATCGTCGAAATTGCTGAAGCTTTCAAATTCAATAGCTGAGAGGTGACTGTGTTTCTCTCGCCAAACAAGCTTCCGGCTGCAGACACCAAGTGTGAGCAGTCTTCCTTCCCGCCTGTTGCAGCTCCTGCGTCTCAGCGACACGTGTGCAACCATGCACACTAGGGGTCTGAGCTGAATAAAGGCATTCATTTCATGGTAAACCTGTTCTTCACAAACACTGAGTAATATAAATCAGCTTCTTATAAAACCTATTATGAATGAAATAGAATATAACAATAGGTTATCTCAGTGATACAAATACAACTCAGACTTCAGCAGAAACAGAAACATGGAGAACAAAAATGTGTCCCCAAACAGAATTATTTTGTATATTGATGATTCCAAGTTTTACAACTGTACACTAATTTCAAAAAATAAAAAAAAGGGTAGGCCAAGCACCTTACAGAACTGAAAACATCCTAAGTAACAGGCGGCCAATACTGTTTCATGAGTCCCCTCCCTTAGTGGCCGATTCACACTGGAATGCGCCCTGAACCCCACGTGTATCGCTCCTCAGTGGAATCCTCCCCAAAATATCTGCTTCTCGGAGATGTTTTTAAAAAGAGTCTGGATAAGCAATAGGTGACACCAAAATCCACCTTTGTTCCCAAGAGGAAACGTCAATACAAAACAGCTGGCAGCATCTTCCTCCACAGTAACAACTGGCAGACTTATGCTGCCTGAAATTTGAAATGACAGTGAAATGAGAGAGACTTTGGAATACCATCTGTCCATCCATAAATGCAGAAACAAAACAAACTACAGAATGAAACAAACATGTTAAACCAACAAACAAATGCAGCTGAGATATAGTCCATGATATATATGATTACTGGCATAACAATAGTTGAAGACTTAAAAAAAAAGTGACTTTTTTCATAACAACAGTACTGGATTTATAAAAGGTTCCTGTTTCCAAAGATATTATTGGGGTCCACATATTCCTTGACAGACTTCAGCATCCCAAAGCCGACATCAGAGATACTTTCCTTTAGCCATTGCTTCCGTAACTTGCCCACTGGAAAAACAAAATAAAAAATGCTTCAATATACACTGTGATGCTGGGAACCAATCAATCTTGTGACCACGAATGAACAAACACTGTGTGATAAATGCTTTTATTCAAAAATGAGAAATGTTTTGCTTTATTTGATTTATTGAGCCCACCAGACTATCAAGCTCATTAAGCGCGATGCATTCCCCGGGGAGGCCTGTGCCCCACAGAGTCTCCTTTTCCTGTAAACTACGGAATGAAGACGAAGAAAGCTTGGACTGAGATTATGGCCCATTTTACAAATAACAAAATGAGAAAAATGTGCATTTCAAAAGAATCCCCCTCCTGTCTTAACAACCCAAACAGCCAAAGTTTCAGAGAAAATGAAGTTAATTCAAGAAAAATACTGCGTTCAGGTAAATTTGTTGGGTATAATATAGCAAAAATAGCAGGATACACACACACAAAATATTTTAAGGAAAACAAAGGCTTAGAAATTTTTAAGAAAATATGAACCCTGGGTTTAAGGGGGAAAAAAAGAACCTGGTTATGAAGCTTTTCCATTTGCATTTTCTTTTCATATTACTTTTAAATACATTTGCATGTTCCCAAATAATGGTTACTTTCTTCCTATTTTCCCCAAATTAGAGATTTCTTTGGGTACTAAGTAAATCAAACACCTGACTCATCTTAAACTTACTCTTCTGCTTTTATATACTGTAAAAAGCATGCTCCCCCTCTTTGTTCTTGGTCTTACTAATTTTTTCTGAGAAAAATAATGAAGTAATATAAAGGCTAGCAGCATAAATCATCTTTAAAAAAGTACTCAATAAAAACATAACCTAAGTAGAACTTTTATAAGAAAGGATATGTGCTTTATGTTTTGGCATTAAAAAGCAAAGCAATATGCTGACTTATCTGTGGTGAAATGGATAAATCTTTTAATTTACAAATAGGACTATTTGTAGTTAGTACTTTTCAAATGTATTACTGTAATAATTGAATTCCAATGGTCATTTTCCACAAATGTTCATTAATGACCCAAAGTCATCAACGGTCCTTTAATTGGCCACGGAAATGGGAAACCTTCTTTCATTAAGGTATGCAGCCTGTCATTCTAAAATGTGCTCCCATTTATCAGGCTGCAGTGATACACCATAGCATCTACCTTTTGGAAACCTTAAATACCACTTCAAGCTCAATTCAAAGCATCTTTTGTGCCCAGTTCTCCAGAAAAACATCAAACTGTCATTAAAATAATAAATAACATGATACCCTTTGAAAGCAAAGTATTTCTGCTTAGCTTCTAGAAATAAAAAAAAGTGTTGCTGGTGTTAAGATGGGGGAAATGAGGTTCAGCAAGAAAAAATTCTTAAATTCAAAAAAAAATTTTTTTGCTTAAAAAGTTCTAAAATTAGAAGTCAGGCAGTACAAATTCCTATTTACGGAATCTCTAGCACCTAAAAGATATTCCACCAGGTCCTCCTACTATCTTCCTAAGGGACAACTCAGCACAAGGCTTCAGTCTGTTTTCTCACCTGCAAAAGGATTAAAAACAGTCTTTTCACCTCAAATATCCTAAGATTTTAAGAACTTTAAAAAAGTTACAAATCAGTTATTTCCAGATTTGCTCCAAGGGATTAAAAACCAGCAGAAGCGGCACTGTGCTAAGCCGCCCACGCGGAGGCAGCTCCGCGGAGGGGCGGAGAGCGGCGAGTGCCAGTCTCCACTGTTATCTGTAATGTAGCTTCACTGAATGCGTCCTGTGGTCACAGATCTAATTGTGCCGAAAAGACTGCAAACAACTGCTCCAACAAGATGGAGCACATTAGAACCTCAGCAGGATGCCCAACAGCGAGCTTGTCTGCCTGGTTTTACACCTCTAGTAATGATGCAATTCCACAAGGAACTGAACCATCATTTGAGAAGCCACCCAACAGCCACTGCATATTTAATGAAGTCGCTCACCAAGTGCTGGAAAACAGAAGGTGCTTGGAGTGCATCATTAGTTCTGTCAGAAGGATAATTTACACATCTATCTTGTCAAATTTTCTATGGTTTATACTTTTACAATAATCAATCTAACATACATTTGATTAGTGAACTAGAAAGTTTTTAAAAAGGCAGTACAGGCAGCATGGCCATGGCCCCTCATAAACATAGTTAATGAAAGAATTTAACCCCTTCATGGCAGAGGTCTATGAGCTTCTGTGAGTGATAACAGAATTTCAAATGAGATCAGAAATCACGGCTCATGCAATTAAAGGGGCTAGGAATCTTTTTCATTTTGCTTAACAATTTAAATCAATACATTGATTAAGTGTCCAAACAAAAAAACACAATCTAAGTAAAAATGTTCAGTGAGTCTTTGTGATAAGACAATGATTGGAAATAGCTCTTTATAAAATTCTAAAGAACCTTCTCTGGCTGTCTTGGATTGATGAATTAAAAACAACAACAACCCCCCCCCCCCCCAGGTCCTAATCCCAAAGAGAGATCACATTTCAAAGTAGAAGAGTTTTTATTCTAGAGCTAACTGACAATAACAATGATGGTGCCATGTGTCCCATCTTCATCTGTCCTGCCAGATAATGTACATACAGGAGAAATGAGCGGGCTGCACTGGTCTGGACACACGTGACACACGTGTTCACGACTCTATAGGAGCCGCTTCGACATTTGTAAACCTCGTTTTCAGGAATGGAAATGAGACTCTGTTCCTTAAGCAGCATGTCATACTGAAAGACAGGACAATGAATAAAACCAGCAAAAACAGGTAGCCTAAGACGGAAGCATCCCTTGTATGTATAGTGATCCATGAAAAGGCATGTATACATTCATATCACATGAATCCTAATACTCTTTCCAGACCTGTATTACCTGAGGTGGGATATTCATGACTACTGACTCAACTATATTCCTTTAACTTCTGATTTTCTATAGAAGTATAAACCTAGCCTGAGTGTCAACACTGGTGCTACAGAAAGCCAGTTCCACCACCTTTAAAAGTAAAATAGGGACCCTGTATTCCACAGTTCACAATTGTTCTAAATACAGAATACCCAAAGTATTTAAGCCTGGTATTTAAGGGCCTCAGAGCATTTTTAAAGATACAAAAAACATAAGCCAGTAAAATACTAAACATTACAGAAAACAAATGGGGGAAATTCTTCATCGGCTTAAATTAAAAGAGTTCACAGTTTACAGTGAAACTTTTTTACAGTTTAATTTCAGATAATGTACATACAGGCTGGATGAAGCAAGTATTTTGTGTTCTTCTACAATATACACTATATTTTTGAAAACTTGCTTTTAGAACAGAAAAAAATGAAGCTTTGGAGGGTACCTTTGAACTCACAGGGCCAACAACTCCCTCTGGGTGCTAACAACTCCAAGAAAGAACACCTTTGTGGTATGACCAACAGCATAAAAGGACAGACAGGCATAAATGTAAGGGGGAGTGGGTAGTGAGTGGCGTGTGTGTGAAGTGTGGACACGGTGGTCAGCCCAGCCATCAAAAATTATCTGGAACCACTCTGTGCTCTAAGGCCCTGAAGACTTAGCAGACACTACCCAATAGTCCTCTCTTAAAAGTGATAAATCTAGGTTCTACTTGCCAGAGTTCTTTTTAGCTAGATACAGTTAAAACTGTTTGCATTATGAATTTGATCACAGAGTTGAAAAGACTTATTATATACTCATCATGAAATAGACTGTACATTTAGATGACAGAAGTGAAAGCTCAGAAGTAGAGTTTAGCCAAAGTAGAATAAAAGCATCTAACCATTACTATAATGACTGTATTTTGAAAGTTGCAGTTTGAGCATACTGGATACCTTTAGCACTATAGGTCATATTTTTAAAACAAAATCTAGACTTAGCTGCTTGTATGAGTGATCCAAACATCCATTTGTATTTCAAGATTTAAGTAATGCAACTATCTCCTGGTGAACTACATAAGGAACTGGTGCTGGAGGTACACCCGATCTCCTGCCAGATGGGGTTCTGGCCCCATGAAACTCGAGGTGCTGATGAAAAGAGAGGACAACAGACTGTTTCCACTCCTTGAGGTACCTGGTGACCTGACTGCGATGAGGTTTCTTTAGGGAGGGCAGGGGATCTCAAGTGGAAAAAAAGGATTTAGTTGTCCATTTGTTAGTGCAATAAAGCACATTTCTGTGTGTTTGATTTTGGTGAAGGTACATGCTAAACGTCAACCAACAAATCTCCAACTGAGGGAGGCTGACCCCAGACTTCAAAGGTGTATGAGGTGGGATTATGACCATTCAAGAGGCTGACTGAATGCTGAGTGGAGACTTAAAAGTCATATTTGATTTTTAAGTCATCTAGTTTATTTTCTTCTAATGAGACTTCTGATATCAAGATGCAAAAATTCAAGAATACCAAGTTAACAAAGCAATTAATATTTGATGTTATAAGATACTTCTTTCACTAAATATTTAAACTGTCTTTATGCTAAGGTTTCATCGGTGCAGTTTATATAATATCTCCAAGATCTTACAGATACTTCAATAGGTCTTTAGAGATTACAAAACAAAAAAAGTTTAAATTACTGGGGTAATAACAGACCACAAGAGCTGGATTCAGTCTGTCTTCAGAACACAATTATGTGTTAATTCTGCTCTCTCTCCCCAAAAGATGGCTTGACACAGCTGAAGTTTAAACTCTGTGGAAATTAATGCCTATCCAACAAAGTCAAAAGCAAGTGAACAGGTCAAATACCATGAGATAGGTAAGGGCAGACGAGGAGAGAAAACAACAAATGATCCTTGAAGGCTAAGTCCACATTTTATTCATGCTTGTAGCCCTTCTGTATAACATGTGTATGCCACAATAAGAATTCAGTAAATGTTAACTGAAATAAAAAATAACCACTGAATCACAGTTGTCCATCAGCTATTTAGATAAGGGGTAAGGGTTCAAATTTCTATGAAAAGGAACCTGGGTTTGCTTAATTTATTTTGGTTATACCTGCCTTGCATTCCCTATATTCTCACATAATT